AGAGATACTGTTTAGCCCTGACAATAGGAGCAGCGCTGATATTCATAGCTGACAGAGGAGAAGTGGATCAATAAGATTTAACAGAACTCACCACCATTGAGCCAGGCAACTCAGACAGAAATAGCTGGCTTTATTCGCCAATACAAAGGAATACTGCACTGCTTTTCCAACTTCTTATGTAGGTGAAAGAACAATGAACAAATGGCAACACTCCTGCACAGAAGAATGTCCCCCATAAAACACCATTTCAGAGCCAGTATGTCCCTCCAATTCAAAGGAACTATAAAAGGGTCCAAGTTCCTGCTTAATTTTCTCCAATAGAAAGGTACCGTCACTTAAATACAGTATTAAAATGTTTTCACATGCCAGTTTTACCACCTACAAATCAGAGTACTATAACTAGAATATTAGAGGAAAGAGGTCTCTCCTCTCCTTTACCTGGTACACTGGAGAGCACTTTTTATAGAACCAATCTATTCCTCCTGTATGAGCCCATCAGATTTCCCCACTTGTGGGCCTTTCAAAGGAGAAGAGAAAAGCAATGATAAAACCCAAATCTGTGATTGTAAAACAGCAAATATGGACAGGAATGTGTATGTGTATAAGTGTCTGGGAAAGGGTGAGCATATCTAATGGCTTAACTCAATTTTTGTCACTCACTAGATTTCAAGTTCACAGGGTCACTTGAATCAGTGTGATGGAGATTCTACAGAAGTGTCCTAACTCATCACATACAGCAGGAAAGTATGAGAACTCTTCCATCAACAGTTACATTGTAGATTACTGGAAAGCAAGCTAGCTGCAGGGCAGTAGCACAGCACACTCCTATGCAAACTGGGAAGCACCCAGCTCTCAGGATAATTCAGTCACTTGGTCTCAAGCTGTGGCCTGGGATTCCAACAGACAATGCACTCAACCTCCCAAGAGAAATCTGGGCATTACTAACAGATTCCAGAGACAAGTGGGCCCAGAGAAGCACTGCCACAAAGTGCGTGTTGCTAAGGAAGACAAAAAACTTCTCTCCCCTTGTGTTCTGACTGGAACTTACATTTTACATCACATTTGGGTTACATCTTTAACTGCAAGACAACTTCTTCAACCTTCTCAAATCCTACCTGAGAGTTCATGGCTGCTCTACTCAACAGAAAAAGTACCCAACACTGTTTGTACAAATTTCACAAAATTACAATTCCTTCCTGACAAAACCCTGTTTTTCAATGGAAGTTTCAGATTTAGAATGGCAAGTTTAAATATCTGAGCCTCTCTCCCACGCCCCCTGTGGCAAGCACATTCTGTCCCCCTTTGAGGCAGGGAAAAGGGTGGTACAGCTCTGCAGATGAGTGAGCCTGCCTTTAGCCTCAGGGCAGTGAAAACAGCTGCCCTTCCCTACAAGTCTGTCTGGCCTTGTGGCTAATTAGTATGACCACCCTCTTAACCTGTCTGTGTGGCCTGAGGAGACGAGACAACCATCCAGGGAGCTAATGGGTAAGGGAACCCAGGCCTTTACTGCTCCATCAGGTTGCAGTCCTGGGCCCTATCAGTGTGTGTACTCATCAGGAGTCGGAAGGGACCCAACTGAAGCACTTCCTCCTCTGTTATACAACTGCACCAATGGCTAGTCTCAGGCTGCGTCCTACCTTGTCTTCCAGGGGCAAGGTCCATGGTGCTCAGCCTGTGGAAGCTCCAACGGTTCCATCTCTTGGCGTCTGCCTAGGCCTTAGCACGCTAGCCTCCGTGGTGTGGGGCCAACGGCTCCTGGGCGGGGCCTGCAGTGTGCATCCGCTCCCTTCAGTGGTTCCAACTGACTAGCTGAGCTGCTCCCTTTCCCGCTGGCGCGCGCACGGCAGGGAGGGGGGGGCAGGTCTCCCTCTGCCCAGAGCAGGGACTGACAGCTCCTTGTCCAGTCCACCCGCCACACCCCACTGCACAACGGCGTCAGTCAGCC